AGAGAGAGAGAGAGAGAGAGAGAGAGAGAGAGAGAGAGAGACGATAACTCTCCGACCTCGCGGCTCCCGCCATGCTACTTCCATTGATAGGATGAGCAACATCCAATGAATCTTCGGCTAGAACATGGAAACATACACTATCTGGTTGAATCTTCGTCGCTCTGGCCAGCCACACTTTTGGTCCTCTCCCCCCTCGCTCTACCCGACCGGCCCGCCGCACCTCCCAACGCCTCCCGACGGTCCACCCGACCGGCTCTCTCTCTCTCTCTCTCTCTCGCGCGCGCGCGCGCGTGGGGATCTCACGATTTCGCCCCGTTCAGCCTACCTCCCCACGTCGCCCTCCGGAGCGCGGTACCACCGCCCTGTCCCCGTATCCTCCCGGTACCGCCTGGCTCCAACGAATTTCCCGTGCGCGGATCTCACTATTTCGGCCCGTTCGGCCTACCTCCCCGCGTAGGTCTCCCGACCGCGGTACCACCGCCCTGTCCCCGCCTCCTGTCGGTACCGCCCCGCTCCAGAATTTCGCTGGGCTCGCGACGGGGCATGTCGCCGGGCCCTCTCCATCCTTTAGTATGTATAGAGATATATATCTTTCTCTCTCTTTCTCATATGTCGAGTTGTAGCTATATTAGAACCTCTACATCCATTTGCGGGTTACATTTGATGCTGCCTGTTGTTTGCCTCTCCAAGAGAGAGAGAGTTCACTACAGCGTGCAGACACAGGATTGAACAATATTTCAATCATTTGATGATTGTTACGATGTATGTCATAATTTGTTGCCTTTGGAGTGCAAGAGACACATCAGACCCCCTGTGATGACCAATGTGTGTATGTTGTGTTTTTTTTTTGCATTCTCTGTAATTTAAATCCAAATGTAGTAGGTTGTGAAATGTTTTGGAAGTTTGTGCGGAGGTCGGCTGAGGTGCCGAGGTGCAATCATTTTCACGCGGACATGAAAAACACATACCACATTCACAAACGTCGTGGATGGATAGGTACGAATTTGGCCAGCCGTAAAACCGTGGTGATGAATGTTGTATCATATATCGTGTACCATGCATAAATCGTTGCCTCTTCGTGCACGACCATAGAACCTGTCATGGCATATAAATTATCGTGTCGCACGGTTGACTACTAATCTTTGTCAATTGGGATCAGCGACACAGACCATTCGTACCAAAAACGGCAATCAGTACTCCCTCTCTATCTCTTTCTCACAGAGAAGAGGATGTGCGACACTTACACAATATAACAAAATATGCTCTGCAACTTATAATTCTAACGACCTGAACCAATCTACAAAATGCTAATGAAAACACTGTCCGCGCCGCTCTGTTTGTTTTTGGAATGCACTGCGTGCACAGAAAGTGGATAGCGGTCCACGAGTGTGCGACTGCGGCAGACCTTTCATGTCATTATAAACTTTGAACTCACATTGTGCGAGGGCATGTCCGACCGTGGCGGACGAAGGAAACATGGCCAGGAGATGGGTGTGGTCGATGACGTCGGAGCATCAAGTACAGGTGCAGTGAATCTCGTGAGCGATGAGAGCGAGGACGTCGGGGCCCCGGAGAATGTAGACGGTGAGGGCGGGATATTCGAATAGCAGCAACTGCAGCCTGTCGAATCTTTTGACAGCTCTCGCAAGCTGGCGGCACTGATTTTCTTCGCCAGGGGCGGCGTCGGTATGTCGCAGAGCGACATCGATGCTCTCTTGTCACTTCTCACGGACCCGAGATTCTGCACAAGAGACATTGTGTATCATAATAGTCGAGAGTGTTTGACATGGGCAGGGAGTCTAGCAGACGCTGCTGGATGGAAAGAGTTGGATCTACGTTGTGACGATTGGCCACGGGATGCGCACACCATCTTGTGGCACCACGACTGGCGAATGACATTTCTGTCGATTTTTCATATTGCATTACAGAAATGGGAGACGGTGTCTTTACTAAAAGTGTCTCCGCCATCAGAGCACCTCAATATATCCGGCCCACGCAGCGGGGCGCTAAGTTATCACATCCAGTCGATCATTCGAGCGGACAAAGGTGTGGACGGGAATGGTAATCCACGTTATGTTATCCCTCTTTCACTGTATTCCGACAAGACACATACAGACGGTCGTCAAAAATAGACGGCGTACCCTCTGATGATGTCACTAGTCGACCACGCATCCGAAGCCACACTGTTGGCCTATCTTCCTGTACTTCATCATCGTCCGCGTGACAAAGGATGGGGTCTGCAGTCCACCGCATTGAGAAAGCGAAAGGTCATCATTTTGCACAAGGCCCTTTCAGTGGTGTTGCAGTCTGCGAATGAGGCATCTCATGATGGAATAATGATACCGACAACGCGATTCGGGGACATAACTGTCCACCCTTTCCTCCTCAACTATATCCAAGACTACCCAGAACGATGTGCGATTGCAACTGTGAAGTTTGGTGTATGTCCGACATGCACCATGTCCAAAAACGATTTTGATGTCATAGCCGATTTCATAGACTGCAGGAGATCATGGACGCTGGAAACACACCTCACAGCAGATGTGTTCACCGCCAACGACATCGACGTTTGCCGTGCAGCGGAAGCACGAATGTCGGAGTTGAACATGCATAGGCATGTTCAACAGAACGACCCTTGGGGGTTCTACATGGGCCCCAATGGTGACGATCCTCAGCTAAGACTACCACCTGGCATTGCAACCAGACCGTATGCACACAATCGAGCACGACATATTCCTGCACATGATTGACGCATTCAGGACCGCAGCCTTTGAGAAGTTGCTGCACTTACCATAAACAGAGATCCTGAAGGAACTAGATGCAAGGTTGCAAAGCGTTAGTGAGAGATGCACGCAAACATACACCCAACTTGTGTTGCCGGTGGCCACTGGAAGCGACTTTTTTTCGAAGGGGGGACGGTTCAAGGCGAAGCAAAACCGGCCTGTGATGACATTGTGCGTGTTCCTTATTTCTAATATTATACCGCGCTCGACAGGCAAGGGAATTACCGTTTGTTTTATGAAACTGATGGAAATGTACATACGAGTGCTTCGGTGTACAACACACAGTCGTGCTTCGCTCGATGAATGCGACGCTTTGATCACGGACTTTGTAACGACCATCAAAGGAAAATTGGAAAAATATCAACCATCAGAATGAAAACTCCCCAAGTTGCACGATCTGATGCATCTGAGAACGTGTATCGAGCGATCCAGTGTCCCCGACACCTTCGCGGCAGATGTTTGGGAGCATCACCACAGGAAATTCTACAAACAGCCATACCTGTCATCAAACAAGCGGAAAGCTTCAACCCAGATGGTAAACAATGTGCGCCGGTCATTGGCGTTGCGCGAAGAGATTAGGATCGTGAGGAAACGGAGGAAGAGAACGGTTGAGAACCGGTCGTCCGTGACAGACTGTATGGCCACCGGAATGAACACCCTCGCACTACGCGATACGGCAATGCTGCAACTGCGGTGGTTCGACATCGATGACGAGTACATACGCGAGGGAGAAGGCATTGACAACCATGCGTGTAAGATACTCGAAGAGCTTCCTTGCAGACGCGATTTTCG